ACGGCCAATTTTAAAGATATTTTAAAATCCTTTCCAATTCTTTTTTATTGAAATATTTTTATTAATTTTTAATTTTTTTGATAGTTGTCCTTTTAAGTTATACTTGATCATAGAATGTATTTTGACTCATTTCCAATTCTTTAGGCTCACCCTATGATCCCACCTTCATCCTTGGCCGTGCTCCTTGCAATGTGATCTGCTCCATTATTTTCAAGAACCGGTTTGACTACCAAGATCCAGATTTTCTCACCTTGGTGAACAAGTTCAATGAAAACATCAGGATTCTGAGCTCTGCATGGGCGCAAGTGAGGCCAAGATCCATTCTCCCTTAGAAAAAACTTTAGTCTTTTTTTCTTCAGACACATCCAAAATAGTATATGGTGCATGAGGTGATGTGATTGCTTGGATTGTACTGTCTTGATTAGAGCCATGGAGCAAATATCTGGGAAAGGTTTTGAATTCTTTATTTGGCATGCAGGAATATGAAGGTGCATGTATAGAGCTGGCTTTGAGCCCACTCCAGTGAGTGGATATTTCTTTACATATCAAAAGCCTTGTTTTTGCAAGGCTCTTGGTGACTGCGCAAAGGATGACCATGTCACTCAGTGGACATCCTAGGACTTTTTGAAAGCTCCCATTGCTCACAAGGCCTCCCCAGCTATCAACACTTGGAGGACTTTTCATCCAAACATGTGGCAGGAATATCTCAATTCAGAAAAAGTATATTTTCTGCAAGTAAAGAGAATAATAGGGACAATGAAACTTTGAGGAATCACTGAGTGGGGTAGGGGTTTTGGTGTGCAGCTGCTATCCTAGCTAAAAAGATCACTGGGTTAGTAGAGACTGCTCTAGAGGACAGTTGAGCTCCATGTTTTTTTGGGCCACCTCATTCCACATCTGAAGCTGATTGACAGAAATAAAAAAGCAGGGACTAGTGTTGTGTTCTAAATCAATGTTCCCCATATCCCTATATGTCTTTTGTTATCTATGAAATGTGAATCACACTAATTCCTGCTGTCATATTTCATGTTTTGGGGAAAACTGATGTAGAAAACAAGTGAAGTTGTATAAAATTAAGTTTTAGAATAAAGAAGTTTTATAAATTTCAGGAATGATTATCCCTTGTGATGCTCTGGTAAGAAAATTCTCCCATAAATCATTCTATAATAATGATTGAATTATATATTTTTCAGTAACAATGACACCTCAAGATAGACCCAAATTCTATTTACAAATAGAGCAATAAGTTCTGATGAAAGCTGGCAACATGTCACCTATGTATTCATTAAGTACTTTTTATAAATATATTATTGTTTTCTCTTGTAGGTCTACAATAATTTCCCTGCTCTCATTGAATGTCTTCCAGGGAGTCATCACACTTTATTCAAAAATACTGATTATATTAGAAATTATATTATGGAGAAAGTAAAAGAACATGAAGAATCCCTGGATGTTAATGATCCTCGAGACTTCATTGACTGTTTCCTGATAAAAATGGCTCAGGTAAAGTGTTGACATCAGCCTAGTTTTTTGATTCCTTGATCATGTTGTGGTTTTCTGA